TCAACTACTTGGAAGTCTGAGGTGGAAGGATCATCTGAGCCCAGCAGATCAAGGCTGTGATGGCCATGAGTATGCCATTGTACTCCAGCCTGGGAGACAGAGTGAGACTCAAAAAAAAAGGTCGCGTGCAGCTGGCAGTGGGGGTCGCTCTGGTCTAGTTGAGTTGGTGATGGGATAGACATGCCTTTGGTCAGAGACTGATTACATCCATCCTTGGAAGCGAAGAAAAAACATAAAAAGAAATGCCTAGTCCAAAGTCCAAATTCTTACTTTATGGATGTAAAATGTCCAGGTTGCTATAAGATCACCATGGTTTTCAGCCATGTGCAGACAGTGGTTCTTTGTGTAGGTTGTTTGACAGTGTTGTGCCAGCCTACAGGAGGAAAGGCCAGGCTCACAGAAGGGTGAACATTTAGAAGAAAGCAACAGTAATGACCCACCCAACTTCCTGAATCTGTGTTCTCACAGAAAGCCTTATCATAAGCTCAGTAATTCTAGTTAATCTATCAAGACAAGGCAATTACATTTGATTTTGTAAGGTATACAACAGTGATCTCCTATTTTGGTATCAGTTTTTCAATAAAGTTTTGATTATGGTAAAAAAAAAAAACTGATAGCCAGGCTCAGTGGCTCAGCCTGTAATCCCCCATCTTGGGAGGCTGAGGTGAGTGGATTGCCTGAGTCCGTGGATTCGAGACCCGCCTGGGCAACTTGGCGAGACCTCATCTCTACAATAAATCAAAAAATTAGCCGGGCATGGTAGCGTGCGCCTGTAGTTCCAGCTACCTGGAAGGCTGAGGCGGAAGGATCATCGGAGCCCAGCAGGTCGAGGCTGTGGTGGACAGGAGCATGCCACTGCACTCCAGTCTGGGCGACAGAGTGAGACTCCAACTCATAGAACATTAAACAGAAAATTGGAAAGAATACAGAAAAATTCAACAACACCATCAGCCAGTTTGCTCTAGTGGACATTTATAGAACACCACTGAAAACACATTCTTTTTTTGTGCCCATGAAGCATATACTGAGGTACACCGCATCCTGGGCCATAAAACAAACTTCATAATTTTTTTTTTTTGAGTCAGAGTCTTACTCTGTTTCCCAGACTGGAGTGCAGTGGCACACTTATATCCACCACAGCCTCTACCTGCTGGGTTCAAGCGATCCTTCCGCTTCAGCCTTCCAGGTAGCTAGCTGGAACCAGAGATGTATGCTACCACACCCAGCTAATATTTTGATTTATTGTAGAGATGAGGTCTTGCCAAGTTGCCCAGGCCAGTTTCAAACCCATGGGCTCAGGCAATCCTCTCATCTCTGCCTCCCAAAGTGCTAGGATTACAGACATAAGCCACCACACCAGGCCAAACTTCACAAATGTAAAAGAGTTGAATCATATAGTGTATTTTCTAAACAAAATGGCATCAAACTAGAAATCAACAACAGAAAGATACCAGTAAAACTCCAAATTCATGCCGAGCATGGAGGCTCACACCTATAATCCCAGCACTTTGGGAGGCCGAGGTGAGAGGATTACCTGAGCCCATGGGTTCGAGATCAGCCTGGGCAACTTGGCAAGACCTCATCTCTACAATAAATCAAAAAATTAGCTGGGCACGGTGGCACGTACCTGTAATCCCAGTACTTTGGGAGGCAGAAGCAAGAGGATTGCCTGAGCCCATGGGTTTGAGACTGGCCTGGGAAAATTGGCGAGACATCGTCTCTATAATAAATCAAAATATTAACTGGGTGTGGTAGCACACTTCTGTAGTTTCAGCTACCTGGAAGGCTGAAGAGGAAGGATCGCTTAAACCCAGCAGGTAGAGGCTGTGGTGGCCATAAGTGTGGCACTGCACTCCAGTCTGGGCAACAGAGTGAGACACCAACTCAAAAAAAAAAAAAAAACCTCCAAATTCTTGGGTACTAAATAAAACACTTCTAAATTCTGTATGAATCGAAGAATGAAAATACAGCATATTAAGATTTGTATAACCCAGCTAAAGCAATGCTGCGAGAAAATGAAATGAACTAAATCAGTTAATAAAATCAAACTGCTGGCAAAATAATAATTAACCAGCTTACTCCATTTTGTTTAAAATTTTCATCTTAGTTACCTGCCTGACCTAAGAATCAATACCTACGTGTAATTACAGTAATGTTCCCATAACCACAGACCCCTAGCTTTGTCTCCTTTGGGCAGGTTATGCAGGCTGTTGCCTGCTGACCGTTACAGAACTCCTTTGCCATAAGTTCCATGTGATTGTATGCTTTGCTAACTGAAATCAAATGTTACGTTTTGACATTTTCATAGTTTGTTCTTATATTCTGTTAATGACCTAACCAAGGTAACTCCATTGCATAATGATTCTTTTTCCCTGTCTCTATGTAACTACCGTAAACTATATCTTAATGGCAGAACTCCAGGGACTTTCTGGGCGCTGGCTATACCTAGGACATAAAATTAATCAAAGTTCCCTAACAATCGAAGTTCCCATTTTGGTTGCCAAGTTGTTAGTTAATACTTGCTATGGTCACTAAATTTCTATGTAGCCAATGCTGCAAATTTTACCTATAAAAGCTTGTCACAAACTGCACCAATTTGTCAAGAGTTTTCATTCCTAATCTTGACCCACATGCTAATAAATTCATAATTAATTAAACTCAACCTACTGACATAGCTTCTACCCACTTACTCGGTCATAACAAAATACCAATAGTATTAAATGCTGACATTAGAAAGGACGAAAAGACTGAAATCAATAGTCTGGGTTCTTACTGTGGAAAACTCAGAAAATGCAAAGTAAACCCAAAACAAGCAGAAGGAATGAAATCATAAAAACAAGAACAAAACAAGCAACACTGAAACAGAATTTTAAAAATCAATGAAATAAAGAGTTGGTTCTTAAAAGACAAGACACACTATTAATATCAGTAATGAAATAGGGATTATCACTAAGATCCTGAAGAAACAAAAAAAATAAGGGAATACTACAAACAATTCTATACCTGTAAAATCTGACAACTTAGAACAATGATCCAATATTACAAAAGCACAAACTATTAAAATTTACTCAATATGAAATAGGCCATTTGAATAGCCTCTTAACTACCAAGGAAACTGAATTCACAATTTAAACCCACCCAAAAGAGGCATCTCCAAGACCAGATGGCTTCATTGGTGAAATCTATGAAACGTTCAAAGAATCAATAGGTTTGGCACCGGCACGTATTCACTGCTGTCTCCCTGATGCTGCCGCTGCTGCACTGTGTGGTGCCTTAGCAGGCTTCCGAGCCCTCGTGCCTGCCCAGTTACTGCGCAGCTAATGCAGCGGCACCCCAACCATGTGCCCAGTCATTCTGGCTGCTGAGCTTTTATGCAAGGTCTACACGGAGGCCCGGCCTCCCTCCTGAGGCCTCCAGCACCCTATACCTGTAGCTGTGGCAGTGGCTCACCGCACCCTGGAGACAAAGCTATTGTTGAACTCCTGAATGATGAAATTAAGGAGGAAAAGAAAATCGTAAGTTCCTCCCTAAGTTATCTGAAGGTTGGGAGCTGGAAGTGAATGGGACAGAAGCTAAATTCCTGCCAAAAGTTGCCGAGGAAAAAAATCACTGTCACTGTCAATATCAACAACAGCACCCTGCCAAAATGTGGTGGTGAGGAGGAACTCTCACAAGGGCAGAAGTTTGAAGAACAGGAGCCTGAACAGCCGTCAGCTCCCAATTTTGGATCGAAATTATAAAGAATATGGCAAGAAAGCTCTTGTGCTAGACAGAATATGAGGTTGACAAGAAAAGGAGGCTGAGAGGGACATTTTCTCTATCAGAAAGTTAGTTTTCAGTCTACCGATGAATCTGAATGGAAGAACATCAATTACATGCTCAACACATTCCCTGAAGTGAGCCATGTATGAACACCTAGTAGGTTTCCTTGCAGACTGGTGGTAGGCAACACTGTGGCTGACCAGTTGGCAGAGCTCAGCACAGTCCTAGAGCACAGTATAACTAGGTTTATTGAAGCCCTCAAAAGTTTTGAAAAGATTCAGTATAACAGAGACATTGAGAGCCTTAATGTTATGGCAGGCTTTGGCCAGTGAACAAATCCTATTCTGAAGCCAGTTACATGAGTTTTGACATGGTTACCATCCTAAAATCATGGGAGAATAAAAACAAATTTAAATTATTCTTCTTCTACTCTCATTTACTATTCGTTTGTTTTTTTGTACAAATCTATTATTTCTAGATTTTTGTATAAAATTATGATGGACAGTAAAATCCACCATCTTATAAAATAAAGAAAAAAGAACAGCAATTCTACACCATCTCCTCCAGAAAATAGAAGGGGCTACTTCAGAATTCATTTTTTGAAGCTAGTATTACAAATACCAAAACCAGACACAGACAGTAATACGATAAAACAAAACTATAACTATATATCAATATTCTTTATGAATATGGATACAAAAGTTCTTAACAAAAAATGAGCAAAAATACCGGGTGCAGTGGCTCACGCCAGTAATTCCAGCACTTTGGAAGGCTGAGGCAAGAGGACTGCCTGAGCCCACAGGTTTGAGACCAGCATAGGTAACATGGCGAGATCTTGTCTCTACAATAAATTTTTTTAAAAAAAATTAGCTGGGTGTGGTGGCACACACCTGTAGTTCCAGATACCTGAAGGACTGAAGTGGAAGGATTGCTTGAGCCCAGCAATCCGAGGCTGTGGTGGTGATGAGTGTGCCATGCACTTAAGCCTGGGTGACAGAGTGAGACCCCAACTCAAAAAACACAAAAAAATTAGCAAATATAATTAAGCAATATATAAAAAGAATCATACTCCATGACCAAATGGGGTTTATCCAGGGATGCAAGACTGGTTCAAAATTTGAAAAATCGAGGGGAGCGCGGCCCGGCCTGGGCAGTGGTGGCTTGGGAAGAGGTGGAGAAAGAGCGCAGTGGTCGCAAGCTCGGTGACGGCCCGAGGCGAGTCAGGCAGCGACGGTTCTGTTGGAGAATTGTTACTGAAAAGAGATCCATTTGGTGGAATGTAATAATAAAGAATAAGTCAGGAGAAAATCTCTAAATGCAAGTACCAGAAAAATTAAAACACATCTCAGTGGATTTGCAAGTGAGTTTTCCTTCCTTGTGGACTATTAACAGAACTGCAAAATGTGTCTCCAGAGTCACTTTGTTGTTGATCCACATGGTTGGTGCTGCATGGGTTTGATTGTCTTTGTCTGCTTATACAATATTGTTTTAATTCCCAAAATTGTCCTCTTTCCTCACTATGAAGAAGGACATATTCCAGGCATATTAATAATAATATTCTATGGCATTACCATATTTTGTCTGATTGCCTTAGTAAGGGCCTCAATTACTGATCCAGGAAGACTCCCTGAGAACCTTAAGATTCCACATGGAGAAAGGGAGTTCTGGGAATTATGTAACAAGTGTAATTAGATGAGACCAAAGTGTTGGCATCACTGTAGCTGCTGTGGTCACTGTGTAAGGAGAATGGATCATCACAGTCCATGGATTAACAATTGTGTTGATGAAGATAATCACTGGTTTTTTCTGCAGTTGTGTTTCTACACTGAACTTCTTACTTGCTACACACTGATGTCTTCTTTCTGCCACTATTATTATTTCCTTCCACTAAAATTAAGCTTAACTTGGTAAGAAATGTTTATATCCACTAATGCAACATATAGTTATTAACATGTGGCTCCTTTAAGTATAACAGATGGAAAAAAAGCAACAATAAAAAAAATTGAAAAATCAACCAATGTAACCCGCCACTTTCTTTTTTCCAGTTGAAAAAGTCATGTGATCATATCAATCAATGCAGAAAAAGTATTGAGTCAGTATCCACTTACAATAAAAATTTTCAAAAACATAAAAAGAGGAGAACTTCACCTGTCTAAAGAATATCTACAAAAAATCTAGTTAACCTTATACTTAATGATGAAATACTGAATATATTCTCCCTAATGTCAAAAACAAGTAGCTAGGCTTGGTGGCTCAGCCTGTAATCCCACGCCTTTGGGAAGCTGAGGTGAGTGGATTGCCTGAGCCTGCGGGTTTGAGACCCGCCTGGGCAACTTGGCGAGACCTCATCTCTACAATAAATCAAAAATTTGCCAGGCGTGGTAGCGCGTGCCTGTAGTTCCAGCTACTTGGAAGGCTTGAGGCGGAAGGATCGCCGGAGCCCAGCAAGTTGAGGCTGCGGTGGCCGGGAGCAGCCACTGCTCTCCAGTCTGGGCGACAGAGTGAGACCCCAAC